TGCATAATAAAAAGGAAAATATTGCTGAATATTATGATTCAGCCAATAAAACAAAGTCTTCCACACCAGATAAACTTTTGATGGTTTATAAAGAGATCGAAGAAATGCACAAGAAGCAGATGATGGAGCTAATATATCGTCAGCGAAAAGAACAATCACTACTACAAGCAGAATTTCAAAAGCAACAAATACTTCTGTTGGCAGAAATACGAAAGTGTGCCTCCGGAATTTCACATCAAACAAGTGCGTTGAACATTGCGTTGTCGAGCGACGAAGTAAAACCAACCAATCACGAGGCAAGGCAACAAATGGACACAGACTCTCCGAGTAATATACACACTGAAATGGATTATAATATTAAATTACCGTCAATGAATCGAATGATTGTATGTCCGTTGGATTACATTTCTTCGAAAAATTTACATCTGCTTAAATATCAATCCTTTATTGCGGATAATTCTTCAGCGACTCTCGATTTTGACTTTACGAGAAAAGTGAGTTTATATGATACTATGCATAATAATAATAATAATAATAATAATAATAACAACAACAACAAAAATAACGGTAATGACGATAACAGCCGTTGCGAGTCACGCGCTCTTGTATGTAAGAATTCCAATGTGAGTCGACAATTATTTCCCTTAGATAGTAATACTACGCATATACCAGTACTAGACACCATGGTGTATTTCGATAAACATGTGAGTACAAATTGTAATTTTAACATTATGATATTTCATAATATTTCCGTTATTAAAAAAAGACACTAAAATTATATTACTGTATAGGTACAGGCAGTGAATACCATCAATGCTTATACACGTGGTTACTTAATACGCAGATTAATGCGTACCGAACGCGTTATTGCATTGAAAAAGATATATAAGGAGGCGTTGCAATATATGCTTAAATTACATGTTGATGCGCCTTTAAACTTGGCAGAAGTGGAATTCCTTCATCGTCTTCAGTTGCAAGTAATTACTCATTTTTTTTGCTTATAAAATTTCCAGATAATTTTGCATATTGTCTGCATAGTGACGAAATTTGAAAATAATTGTATAAATATTCAAAGATGCGTCCTCATATGATATGAATGTTTCTGAAATATACATACGAGTTATACTAATGTAAAAAAATGCGACAATATTCTGTTTACACAGGTAGATGTTATTTTATACGACATGAATGTTCCCAGTATATTCAATGCTATAAGAATTGCGGTAATATGTTACTTATTTTATCAGTAACAGCGCAATTAATGTAACATTTATACTGTACTTGACTGTCTAGGTTATTATACTGTTTAGGTTATTTCATTGCTTGTATTTACAAACTTTTAGTCAAGAGCATAAAATAATTTAACGATTTAATTTTGTTTTCAAGTGCGACGCAGCTTCCATGAATATAGTGGAATTATTCGCCCAGTCTCCGACGAAGAGAATGAAAATAATCGCGCATGATCGTGAAATTAAGGAGTCTCGAATAGAACGTCCGACTTCGGCTCGATCGTACTCGTTCGCCACTCAGAAGACTTTAGCCAGAAAGAACCTGAAGGAATTCGAATCCACGTAATAATATAGTTTCATTTAAAAAAAAAAAAGAAATTCGATAGAAGACTGATTAGTCAGATGCGAATCTCGGTGCGTAAAATAAATTAATGAATAAAATTTATTTAAGATACATATGTTTGGACTCAATTTTAAGCCATCTTCAGCATTATATATACATATTTAAAAATAGCTTCATGTTCTCCAGAGTACGTGATTGATCTTGGATCTTATAATTTGAATTAATACTATTACATATACAGTCGATTGACTGATCTCTGGACTAGAACAACAACCTAAAAGTGACGACACAAAAATTTTGTTAAATAATGCAATAATAAAATTTATATTAAATTTGATATATTTTTTTGTGTCCTAAATGGTCTAATCTAATAGCGAATTTGATTGGATGCATTCAGTGCGCACTGGTGCTCATTAAAACAGTCATACACAAAATAATACAAAGATATGTTTATAAATAAACATAGAAATTGATTAAATCATGAAATATTCAATACATTTTATTGTACTATTATATATATTAGGTAAAATATGTATTTTATTCGAAATATGCAAATGCATTTCATTTTTATATTCAAATGAAATCAGTGTATAACGGCTTTAATATGCACCAATATGCATTAATGCTTCTAATCAAATTCGCTATAAATCTATATGTTAATTTAACATAAACATTAAGTTGACATAAAATGAATATGTTGTTAAGAAGTATCACAAATATGTATAAAAAATTAAATATAATAAATGCAACACAATTTGTAAGTAAATTGTGGAAGCATATTTTTTCAATAAAATATAATATATAAAACATTTATAATATATAAAATTAAGACTCCTGAGTAGTTACTTCGACCATATTGAATCGTGACGTCATAAGTGAGAAATGACATTGATTTTTCTTGCATAGGATGATGAGATTTAAAATATTTGTAAAAATGGATAAAGACTTCTTATTTTCCCTGATAGTCAATAAAGAAAAAGACACGTAAAGTGCGTTTACTAGTTTTTACTCAATGCGTATGTGTAGCCTATTTTCAGGATAATTTTTAAGGATAGTTTTCGTCCATTTTTTACAAATGTTTTAAAGCGATCTCATTTTATTTCAGTCAAATTCTCTTTATAAATGACTTTATAAATGGCTTGTAAGAAAAATCAATGTGTTGCTTATGACATATTTCTCGCTTATGATTCAATATGATTGGAGTGAGTATTCAGAGGTCCTAACACATTCATTTATTTTCAAAATTTTTCACGTTTTAAAATACACAAGTTGTATATTATTGTCCATTTACTCATAAATTATTATGTTATTTTAATACTAATGTCTCCACATTATGTGGAAACGTTTACTGCGCGATAAAAAAATGTGACGCGGTAGCTAATAAGCTTACAGCCTCCCCTAATATTATTGGTTACCGCGTCGCATTTTCCTATGCAACAAGTATTTCCGCGTCCAGTATGCAGAAGCCATTAGAGATATTGAATATCAATTTAATCTAAAATATTCAATTAACGCAATTACATTATACGTTAAATTAGCATTCAAATATATTAAAAAATAAAAAATTTTAATAAGATTTTTAACAATCGATACAAAATGTTTCCAACTGTATATATAAAAAAAGAAAAGGAAGAAAAAAAGAAATTGGGAAAATAAGTCAAAAGATAGTTAACAATTAAAATATTTAAAATGTCACGAGCAATAGAAAATTTAAAACACAAATTTTAAACGAGTATTCCTTTTCTCGTAGTTACATATTGTAGAATTCCGTCTGTTTTGTATCGTTTGACTATTAAGATTATGAGTACAAAAATATTATTAAAGAAATCAAGATCTGCTTTGTCTTAAGTCTTTACTTTTTTGCTTTGTGTTATTCATATATCGATCAATATTGCACTTGTCATTATTAAGATTATATCTTCCTTATTGTTTAGAATGGCCAAATACCAGCAATCGTCGACCATTAAAAGAAATCTAATTAGGTCCAGATGTCAAACGTGGACTTCGGATATCAGAGACAGACTTATGTCACCAAATGCATTGTGTAAACTTTTTACATTCGCTTTTGTCATACACTTAATTTTCCGTAATGGATGTACTTGAATATACTTTTGAATTTTCAGATCGAGGTATCAGGAGAAGCACGAGCACGGGAGCCGTACGGAAGCCATGGCGATGATGAGATAAGAGTGCCTTACGACATTGATTAAACGATACATAAGTTTACTGTTAAAAAGTGAAATATGCATGCGGAGTACAATAATTATGTTATCTACAGCGCTTTTTAGCTACTTTTGTCTTCAAGAAGCGCATTAGTGCCTAATTCTGATAAATTTATTTTATATTACCATTGCATTTCTTGACTGAAATATGATACTTAACTGTGATACGTGTATATTCAATATATATCGTTTCCTATTTTCAATTTATTGCTAAAATGGAAATTTATTATATAAGGACGAAACATATAGGCAATAAATTGATTTTATTGTCGATTAATTACTGGGATAATTTTCTCTATAATAAAGAACACTGTTTTTTTAAATCATAAACTGTAATGACTAGAGATTCTCTAATCAGTTTGATCATCAGAGAGCAACTTATGATTGGTCTGACATTTTTTATCAAATTCGTTTTGTAGCTAAAGCGAAATAGCACATATCTTCGAATATACCTTTTCCGTTTCACTGCAGAGCAACATACAACATATTTTTTCTCACTTGTACAATTTTAAAAAGAAATGTCAAAGAAATCTTTTTATTTTATTCCTTGTTATGAAATTCTGTGAAGGGTCTAATATTGAAAAGCTGCTATCTTTATACTATCTTCCGCTCGAATGTTGTTCGAATGTCGTGAGATATCTGATTGGTACATTTCTGAATAGATCATCTATCATCATTTTATTGTTGTGAATTTTGTAAAGAAAGACCATCGATCATTCAAAACTATAAGTTTTCCTTCGTTATAAATATCTTAAGCTTTACGATGACGTACTAAACCACCGCCGTCAGTGCCGGCACTGCGAATGACTTGACTTGCGCGTATTTTCCCTGGAGTTAAAGGCCTCTACGGGTTTCTGTTGACTTCCGACTGCTTCCAATTACTTCCGACAAGCTCCCTTGAGCTCGTCGTTACTCGCCGTTTCTGCAGAGCGTGGGATTCGAGTCTGCGCCATGCCTCGCAGAGGCGTGTCCTCTAGCTCGCGCACGTTCGTATTTAGTACAACATAGAAGCAGCCTTTACCAGCTTTTACTCGTCCACAGTCTTTTACAGTGGAAAAGCGGGTGCGCGTGTGAAAATTCATATCTTGAGGAAGGGAGAA